TCTTAAAAATGCATTCAAGTACCTTAACCACTTCAAGACCAGGTGTTTAGACCATTTTTTGGGGACAGATAGAGCTTTCTTTTGGTGGTATTTAATCACCACTACGGGTTTTATTTTTTACTATAATTAGGAAAAATTACTGAAAATATTGAAAAAAAAAGTTTTTTTTAACATTATGTTAGGAAACATTTATAATTACCCAGTTTTTTGGTAAAATATAAAAGTCGGGGTCACGTCGGGTAAATAGACACCAAACATGTCAAGCTTCAAAATTGCGCGCACCCGCGACATCGCAGAAAACTACCATACCCAAAATTGGCCATAGGCGACACTTTAAAAGCTTTTACCGCTCATCAGTTTAGTGTTATCAGTGATTGATGGCTCTAGACGTATTGCTCTCACTCGGACGTTCGCGGTGATATGTAACATGTGCGGTGTAATGGGCGCAATCGTCTTTTTTGCAAGTATGCGCCCCCCGACGCATGTCTGCATGCGTGTATGTATGGGGGGGGGAATTTTTTAAAATTCTTTTTTATGTGCAACTTAAATTTTTTTTTTGGGGGGGGGGGCTTTAATTATTTTTTAATTTTTTTTCCACTAAACTTTATTGCTATATATTAATAAAAGTGTTGCTTATTTGTGTATCACTCAGCTGTAGATCCTCAAATCCTCTCTGAATTGGTGCTGACACTGTCCTTCCTTCTGGAGGGTGGCTACTTTTGTTCCTTATGGTCCCTGTGTGTGATGTAAAGTAGTCACTGCTCCAAGCTCACTCCTGTGATGGAATACAATCTCATGTTTAGTTTACTAATTTGTACTAAAATTATCGTCCATCACGGGAGGGAGCTTGGAGCGGTGACTAATTTGCAACACACAGAGGGACCATGGGGAACAAAAGTAGACAATTTAGCACCAATTCAGAGATGATTTGAGGATCTACAGCTAAAAGATACACAGATAAGCTATATTTGTATTAATAGTTCGGATACTTGAATGTATTTTTTAAGATTTAACTCCAGTGTTTAATGTGACTTTAAAGGAGCAACAGTTTTTGGTATAATCAATCAATGCAAACAATGTAAAAATACAATAGGGCCATATGAAATTACTTGATGCTTCTTTAGACGTGAATGTAATTTGTAAAAAAAAAGGATGCTGCTATTGCCAAAGAATTAGCAAAACCAAGACTGACTGTTAATGTTTATACTAATGCAAAGGAGGGTGGGGAGGATCCAGATATTACTGTCATTGCTTACCTTGCTGAGGAACAATAGCGACAAAATCATGTTTTCTAACCTGCCCAATTTATCTTTCACCTTCCAAAAAGTGGTTAGCTGCTGGGAGTTTGCTGGATCACAGGCATGAAATAGATATTTATGTAATATAGCTAATCACTGCTATATCTGTGACCAGTTTGGTCACCAGCCACTCAGGAGATAACAGGCAAAGCATGTATTTTGACATACCTTGCAGAGCACCTCGGGAGCCTTAAAGCCTGGATGCACTATAGTGCAAATCTCAAACAGCTCCTGTTGTGGAGAGCTTTCAACCTCCCCTTCCACGCATTAAGAGTGACTAGTAAAGCCATTTATAATAGTTTTAGGCCAATAGCAAGGCTTTGGTAGTAAGAGCGGGCCAGTCTAAACCATAGAAACTAGTGGATATTTTCATAATAGAGCAAGTTTCAGGGCTCCCAAAGTACACACAAATGTAAGTTAGTGGAAGCATGGAAGCACCACCTGGGTGCATACTTATAAGATTTCCTGGCTGTTTAGCACATTTAAAGTAAATGTGTCACAAGAGACATACATAGGCTACTACTGTTAACCTTTTCTCCAGAAAATGCTAGCTGCTTGCGGCCATGATGTATTGGCTTTAATATTTTCTGTGCCTGACCCAAAAGGAATTATGGCTTTTTTGCGTTATATGTACTGCTTCCGTGTTCCAGGTCAGCAGCTCAGAACTATAAATGCAGGTATACCCAGGCAACTAGCAATGGCAGCCCGCATATTTCTCTTATGAATGAGTATATGGTCACTCTAAGGCAACCATTGTGTTGATTATCTGTGAATAGTCTAAAGTAATGAATGCACAGCTTTATTAAAAGTTAATGCTCAGATAATTCAATCACACTTGTACTGGATGCAAACCGTAAGGACTAACAGATCCCCACAATGCATTAGGTATAGAGCAGCGCACACACAAGCCATATGCAAGATAAAGTAAGGAGTACGATTTGACAAGCAGGATGCAGATAGGTCAAGTAGCTGAACATATATAAAGAAAAAGTAAGATTGCAGTTCACATTAAAACAACACAGAGCTTGTTTGTCAGCGGTTAACAGCAGTGGTAATTGGAGGCACAGCTAAAGTAGAAAGTAATACACATAAAAAGCACCTAGACTCACACAAATGTTTTCTAGGCTGCCATAGATGTCCTTTGCTCAGGTGCAGGCTTGCTGTGGGGGTCTCGGAGAAAAAGTGAAAGAGTCAGGCGCAGCGTTCCTTTGGGTTCACATCTCATAGTGTTAAGGGAAGCATTCCTAGTTTGTTCCTTAGCTGGCAGGTAGTTTTAGTAAAAAATATTCTAATTCTAAAAGCCAGTAACAGATGTTCTCAGATACCTTAGTAATAACCCCAAAGAACAGAGAGTTCAAAGAATTCACATGACTGTTACAAAGCAAATCATCTTTGTCAAATGGTTCTGACGGAAGATGCCCCCAATTCTCACATAATAATTCTACGGCTTTGCTAACCCACAGCTAGTAAATGGCACATGAGCTAAATAAATGTCTGCTTTCATCAGAGCCTTCTAATGGCTTTAAATTTGTAAATGTTACTTAAATTATACTTATATACAGTAAAATGTATAGGGAATCCATTGGCAACATTTTTAGTTGCTTGGTGTAATTATATTCCTCCCTTTAAGGATAAAAAATATGTCTATATATATAT